CGCAGTTCAATTATACACACAACTTAAGCAGTTGTGAAATTAAAGCCTGAAAAAAATAATTTTACAACTGCTTAAGTTGTGGGTATAATTGAATTGCTATGATCATGTCTTCATATCGCCTAATTGTCTTGATGTTTAGAAATTCCACTGAGAAAATCCTTAGGGTCAGACAATTCTAGTTGTTGTGGATCTCTTCTCGTGGTATTCTCTTCGAATTCAACTCCATATTAAGTGATTAAACGTGCTGTTCAGCGTCAGTGGATCTCCGCTGTATGGTTATACAGAAGTTTGTGCAAAATGTTTTAACCAACCAGAGTTCACGAAGTGTTTTTTAACCAGAGTTCACGCGCTGTTTTATTAACAAATTAGAGTTCGCGAGCCATTTTCTCCACCAGCAATTATGACCTGGGTTACGGGCTTTCCTGCGCTTGGCACTGGTCTCCTGTTTTTATTCTAAATTCTGATTGGTTCACTATTGAGTCAACAGAAAACCGCACTTTGAAACCTCGAAGATTAACAATCAATTTTTTTGTCGAAATTCTGGTAACGCTTTTCTAATGAAGTATTTTTTTCTCGTTTCAAACAGACCCGAATTTTGCGACCTGGAGAAATGGCTGGAGTCGCTTCTGCTTCACCTTGAAGTTGGTCTGCCATTGCTATCTGACATGACGTTTACCCTTCTACCTGGCACTCTTATGAGGAAAATAAGCGAGACCAGTGATGGCTAGACGTACCGAGGGCGGGGACATAAGCTTCAGATAAGCACATACAAGCCTGCCCAGGCACCAGCAGTCCTTGAAGGACGCAAAAATTCAGAACAATCTTACTTTTGAGCTTTTTTCGTTCAAATAACGTCGACAACCTGGTTCCAGTCCATGCTAGCAGCCTTCGCAAGCAGTTTTGTTCTCGATGATATTTTGGGAGTCTGGGACCAAAACAGCTTCCCAGCGTACAGCACACTCTGTTCCAGACTCCCTCTCATGGCTGAATTCCATTTCCTTTGGGTCATTTGTTTTTATGGCGTAGATGGCGTAGCTCTTGTAAAATATCAACATTTTCTCTGTTGCGGAAATACCGTTGAAATGGGAAGCACCTTGCAGACTGTTCGTGTGTTCTTACAATACAAAATATAATTTGCCTCTTACACGTAAATGTACTGGTAGGAATAACGAACATTTACACGCAACTGCAATTGTAGTGTGCGCTCACCTGCTCTAAATTTGTACACACTGTATCATAAAAGAATTCAAGATAAATATTGAGTCACAAGGTAGTTAGATTAATTCATACGTACGCATTTCGTACAAGCACACACGCTGATGATCAATTGAAGTAACAAGAACAGCAGGTCTCTTGTACTTTTGATTGCGTGAGAGAGAATGTTTCTAAAAAATGAAAGTACTAGGTCATATGACAACTTTGTACAATATTTTTATTGTTGATACTCCACGTTCTTGGATCACCGGTTATGAAATACCGTAAGTCAATAAATGAACTCAGAAGTTAACTCTGTTTATGCTCGTTACGGAGAGCGCAAAACCGAAAACCGCGAGAATAATTTTTTAAAATGGAATTAATCACCTCTTTGTTAGGTAAAATCGTTCCCAGTAACTCGGGTGGGGAGAGTCCGCTAGATAGCAGTGCACGCGCAGGGTTCGGCTCTGCGTCTGCACTCACCTCGCACAGCGGTTTTCTATAACGAACGTTTCGAACCTCAGCGGGGGAAGAGAGGGTAAAAGTAACCTTAATACTTATGAGTGGAAATAGGCCATCTTCGTATTCCGACAGGAACTAGCTTGCAATTGAGGCTAATGCGGGGAATCGTTTCAAATGTAAATGACGATCTCTTTTTGATGACATTCACGCGCATGAGCCTCCATTGAAAGCTAGTTCCAGTCCGATGCCGAGAATACGAATATTACCTGTTTGGACGGAAAGCCAACCATTCATACTCGACTGAGGCCCCGGTGATTTCATAACTAGAACACTCGATTTAGAAACACTCTTGAGCGAATACCTCCCGTCCTGTAATTCAAGGTCCCGTCAGGAAGAGATACTCCTCATAGTGGACGTTAGAAAAACAGTTAGAGAGCCACTGCCATGAATGTCAACAAAAGACATTTTTATTGACCGAAACCTGATAATGGTCTAGTTGTGTTGAAAAATTCATTTAACTGTACTAAAACCGTAAAGGGAGCGTTACCATAGGCTAGGTAAGCACAAGATTGAGCCAGAAGTATATCATAAGAAGTGTACGGCCCGAAGTATACCGTAAACCTCCAAAAGTAACGACCCTCGTTACTTTCGGAATTGGCAGCCTTTGGGGCTCGTTACCTTTGGGAGCGTTACTTTCGAGGGGTCGTTACTTTCGGGGAGCAAAAAACGTGATACGAAGTGTGTAGGGCTGAACCCTTTTTACGAAATAAAGACAAAAACTCGTTAAAACAGTTCTTAAAACATGAGATTGGGAGTAGGCTCTCTACTTTCGGGATTTCTTAGCGGCCGCAGTCTCTTTATGCTACTTCCGGGAGGTGCTACTTCCGGAAGTTTACGGTATCACCCGAAGGATACCTACCTAAGTATGCCTTCCGAAGTATACCACCCGAAGTATATCACCCGAAGTATGGTGCCCGAAGTGTACTGCCCCTGGATATATCACTCCAAGTATAAAACCCCCAAGTATACCGCCCGAAATATATTGCCCTAGAGTATACCGTTGGAAGCATAATACCCGACAACCTCGTTTCCAGGATCTCCTATCTTCCTGCCCTCCTGGAGCGAGAGAGGAAGAGGGCGGGAAGACGAGAGACTCTGGAAACGAGGTTGAATAACCGAAGTATACCGCGCGCAATCGCCTCAATTTATATGCTGCCCAAAATTTGCTGAACGACGTATACCATTCGCAATCGGGAATTCCACTCTTACAACGGCTAATGCTTCATGGCATGTCAGAAGCCAAAAGTCTCTATCGGGAATGTTTGGAAAACTAAAAATTTATAATTGTTCGTCTTACCAAGCTTGCAGCCTAGAATGTTCTTGACTTTTTATCAAACAGTCGGCAGGTACCAGCTGCCTGTTGCTGTTAGTTCTTCACAAACATGAACTCTGCTAATATAGTCATAAAATGTTTATTTAACTGATTGTATGTGAATATTTGTTACGCACGAGTAAACATGAACATTTCTAGAACCTGCCCCCCGCCGAAACCTCCATCCGTCATTAAAATTGAATGATCTTCTACAACAAATATGGCGGATTGAGATCACATTCGATTAGAGACACGAATGTTCATTTTGTTGTAGCTTTTAAAACAGATATTGAAATATCTTTCGGCGGCAGTGGATGGATAGACCTTTTCTGCTAATGGGTTAACGATTTGAGATCGGAGTTCAACGATGAAAGAGCTGGACTACAAATTAAGGTACGATCGAGGGTAAACAAGTTGTTTCACGATAGCATACTTTTAACATCTTACAAGGACGTGGTCTTTTTATTTGTCAAAGAATCAGACAGGCGAACTGATTGTTCATTAATTCTCTGCATGATTAGAGGAGATTTAAATTTGAATAATTCTTCAAAAGACATTTTTACGGTTGTGGCGATTTATTTGCCTTTGCTCGGCCCCTGTCAGACATGAGTAAGAGAGAGGCTCTTGACAGGTGTCCATTCATGTAGTGTTTACTGTATCCTTTTGATAGTACACTCCTGTGCTCGTCTGTTTAACTCAATGACGCACTCCTTGTACAAATAGCTTGTACGCGATCCCCAGTCTTCGATTAAAGCAGCTAAGCGGGAGGGCGTGGTGTTCTGGAATACTTGATCGAGCGAATACTGGAGCTCTTGATCTAGCGGGGATCAGAGCAGTAATTATAAAGTGCGCTGATAGGAAATAGATTGTGCTCGGAAAAAGTGGCAAAATGAAAAGAATTTTCAGCTGTCAGATCTGCATATATCGACTTGTGTGAACCAATGACTTTGGTTTCAGGTTTTTTCTAAAACCTTATATTTTACCACATTGATACGACACTAGCGAAGATTAGACTGAATAATTGTTACAAGGGTGTATATGGGATTTAATTGAGAGCTGAGAATTGGTCAGAGCTTTAACTGTCAGCTGAGCGAATAAGCCAGAACTTTAATTGATAAATGGAAATCCAGCTCCCCTAACAAGACCCTCTGTTACTAAATAAAGCCGCGCGTTTTTCCTTTTTCAGATTAACCTGTATTTTAGTCTTTGAATCGTGGTTATAAGTATTTTTAGAAACTTGACGTTGTTTGAGTGTTGCAAGGTCTTGTTACCACGAATAGTACCTTTGAGATCTTTGAATATACCCTGCCTTTTAGTTCATAATCTCCTGTGCTAGGTCTTCCTAAACAAGCTTGCAATCTAGCCAACAATTTCAGTATCTTTGATGTTTTTTCGTTTTTCTGTTCCCCATCTAGATTTCAAGGAACACGTTAATAAGGCAACATGGAGGCAAAAGATATTATAAAATGGTCGATCCTCGGATTTTTCACCCTTTTTCTTCTTACTGGCCTCTCGTTGATTATTTTTGCAATCACAGTTCCCACACCCTTCGGAGACTATCTAACTATGAAGGGAGCCGCCTTCCCCGTCAACTACGGACTCAGAGTCGGTCTTTTGCTACTTCTTCTTTTCATAGCAGCGCTTAGCTTCTTTGCCATAGTGAAGGAAAACAACAGACTCTTAACTCTACTGGCGATTTTATTCATCATTTTATTTCTGGTCGAGTTTATTATGGGAATCGTGTATTTCACGATGAAAAGTGAAGTGAAGCTCTCTAAAAAGAAATTTAGCAATGGACAGCAAATGATGGCTGAGTATGGAGTGGACGAGAAAGTCACAAAGGCCATGGATCAAATTCAGCGGACATATGCCTGCTGTGGAATTGTAGACTATCGAGATTGGTTCACTTCAAAATGGGCGGCTAGTCAGGTTTGTGAAAAAATAGTTTTAAAAAATGCTGTAAAGGGCTTATAAGTCCTCCCTCACTTTTAATTATAACTTAAGCTTTGTGCAATTTACCCCTTCCACCCCAACGGTACCTCCTCTAAACTCCACCTTATCTGTCACCCTTTCTCTCTAACTTGAGATGCTTTGAAACGATATTCCTTCTCCTTCCGGGGAGGGGCATTTTGTTAACTGGTTGTTCTATTGTTTCCTCAGGGAAAAAATAACATGGTACCAACTTCTTGCTGTAAGTACCCGAACGAGAATTGTGGTAAAAACATGGACACAAAGAACCCCATGGACTTTATCAATATATTAGGCTGCACGGGTCTCAATTTCTCTTACGATGACAAAATGAAAGTGGTGGGAGGGGTGGGTCTTGCTCTTGGCTTCCTCAACCTGTTTGCTTTGTTGTATACAATTATATTCTGTTTCTGCTTCAACGCCGCGCGGGGACTGAGTTCAGTGGACGCTCTCAAGGGAGAGGAACCTAATGACGAGACGTCTTCGAGCTCACCGAATAAGGGCCGTCGACGCCCCTCTGCGCAAAGCACGCCAGGGTCCTCGCGGCGCCAGCGCTCGAAAAGGGCTCCACGAGCGTCAATGGAAAAACTTAACGCAGACGATGATGATAATGACGACCTACCTCCTAATGCTTATAAAGATTTACTTGATAAATCACAATCCCAGCGTGAATCCCAAAACTGAAAAAAAAAGTGTGGGAAACTGACGATTTCCTCAGCCCCCAGCCCGACTTCACACGTCCCAAATTCAAAATGGTGTACATGCCAAGATTTAGGGCGGGCCTACTACGATGGCGCATATTCCATGCCATCGACACTGGGTATGGGCGGAAAATCTCGATCAGTTTGTAAGACCTTTACGTCTATATCAAAGAGAAATGCTCATCATCAAAAGCAGGAGCTTAAGGGGCTTGTATTTACTGGCTTATACTACACTAAACCTATAAATAAGGCAGTTGTCATTATAGCAAAGGGCAATGACGTTATGGCCTCGAAGAAAAATGTAACAAATATCGTACGAGGATTGCATCAAGAAACGCTAGATCATCGTGTCTTGATTGCATCCAATTGAAAAAAACAAACATTGGACCAAGTTAGACAAGTTGAGAGTGACTTTTGGACGAGGTCCTGGATCCTGAGTGAAGTGACAAGGTGACTCTGTCCCCATTCTATTCCCCACTCACTCTTACCACCTCGCGATTTTAAGGTATATAATAAAACATTTAATTTCCAACGAGCAGTCATATTAAGATAACAAGTGCGTACCGTGGGATTAAAAAGACGAGAGAAAGCAATATTTATAACTAGCTGTATTTAGTAAAGGGTTGCCAGGAATACTGGCGGTGAAACAGGGATTGTCATCATGTTCGCCGCGAGGGCGTTTGAACACTGTACATGCACGAACGGCACGGTTGTTGCGTTAAAATTCGTGTCGTGTTACAGGTTAATGGATCGCTTCGATGTATATATAGCAATTAAAAACGGCATTTTATTCGTAAGCTGCGCCATGTAATGGCTAAAGACGAATTAAAAGCATAATAATTTTTTTTAATATAAAATCTCATTGTTTANGGATCACCGGTTATGAAATACCGTAAGTCAATAAATGAACTCAGAAGTTAACTCTGTTTATGCTCGTTACGGAGAGCGCAAAACCGAAAACCGCGAGAATAATTTTTTAAAATGGAATTAATCACCTCTTTGTTAGGTAAAATCGTTCCCAGTAACTCGGGTGGGGAGAGTCCGCTAGATAGCAGTGCACGCGCAGGGTTCGGCTCTGCGTCTGCACTCACCTCGCACAGCGGTTTTCTATAACGAACGTTTCGAACCTCAGCGGGGGAAGAGAGGGTAAAAGTAACCTTAATACTTATGAGTGGAAATAGGCCATCTTCGTATTCCGACAGGAACTAGCTTGCAATTGAGGCTAATGCGGGGAATCGTTTCAAATGTAAATGACGATCTCTTTTTGATGACATTCACGCGCATGAGCCTCCATTGAAAGCTAGTTCCAGTCCGATGCCGAGAATACGAATATTACCTGTTTGGACGGAAAGCCAACCATTCATACTCGACTGAGGCCCCGGTGATTTCATAACTAGAACACTCGATTTAGAAACACTCTTGAGCGAATACCTCCCGTCCTGTAATTCAAGGTCCCGTCAGGAAGAGATACTCCTCATAGTGGACGTTAGAAAAACAGTTAGAGAGCCACTGCCATGAATGTCAACAAAAGACATTTTTATTGACCGAAACCTGATAATGGTCTAGTTGTGTTGAAAAATTCATTTAACTGTACTAAAACCGTAAAGGGAGCGTTACCATAGGCTAGGTAAGCACAAGATTGAGCCAGAAGTATATCATAAGAAGTGTACGGCCCGAAGTATACCGTAAACCTCCAAAAGTAACGACCCTCGTTACTTTCGGAATTGGCAGCCTTTGGGGCTCGTTACCTTTGGGAGCGTTACTTTCGAGGGGTCGTTACTTTCGGGGAGCAAAAAACGTGATACGAAGTGTGTAGGGCTGAACCCTTTTTACGAAATAAAGACAAAAACTCGTTAAAACAGTTCTTAAAACATGAGATTGGGAGTAGGCTCTCTACTTTCGGGATTTCTTAGCGGCCGCAGTCTCTTTATGCTACTTCCGGGAGGTGCTACTTCCGGAAGTTTACGGTATCACCCGAAGGATACCTACCTAAGTATGCCTTCCGAAGTATACCACCCGAAGTATATCACCCGAAGTATGGTGCCCGAAGTGTACTGCCCCTGGATATATCACTCCAAGTATAAAACCCCCAAGTATACCGCCCGAAATATATTGCCCTAGAGTATACCGTTGGAAGCATAATACCCGACAACCTCGTTTCCAGGATCTCCTATCTTCCTGCCCTCCTGGAGCGAGAGAGGAAGAGGGCGGGAAGACGAGAGACTCTGGAAACGAGGTTGAATAACCGAAGTATACCGCGCGCAATCGCCTCAATTTATATGCTGCCCAAAATTTGCTGAACGACGTATACCATTCGCAATCGGGAATTCCACTCTTACAACGGCTAATGCTTCATGGCATGTCAGAAGCCAAAAGTCTCTATCGGGAATGTTTGGAAAACTAAAAATTTATAATTGTTCGTCTTACCAAGCTTGCAGCCTAGAATGTTCTTGACTTTTTATCAAACAGTCGGCAGGTACCAGCTGCCTGTTGCTGTTAGTTCTTCACAAACATGAACTCTGCTAATATAGTCATAAAATGTTTATTTAACTGATTGTATGTGAATATTTGTTACGCACGAGTAAACATGAACATTTCTAGAACCTGCCCCCCGCCGAAACCTCCATCCGTCATTAAAATTGAATGATCTTCTACAACAAATATGGCGGATTGAGATCACATTCGATTAGAGACACGAATGTTCATTTTGTTGTAGCTTTTAAAACAGATATTGAAATATCTTTCGGCGGCAGTGGATGGATAGACCTTTTCTGCTAATGGGTTAACGATTTGAGATCGGAGTTCAACGATGAAAGAGCTGGACTACAAATTAAGGTACGATCGAGGGTAAACAAGTTGTTTCACGATAGCATACTTTTAACATCTTACAAGGACGTGGTCTTTTTATTTGTCAAAGAATCAGACAGGCGAACTGATTGTTCATTAATTCTCTGCATGATTAGAGGAGATTTAAATTTGAATAATTCTTCAAAAGACATTTTTACGGTTGTGGCGATTTATTTGCCTTTGCTCGGCCCCTGTCAGACATGAGTAAGAGAGAGGCTCTTGACAGGTGTCCATTCATGTAGTGTTTACTGTATCCTTTTGATAGTACACTCCTGTGCTCGTCTGTTTAACTCAATGACGCACTCCTTGTACAAATAGCTTGTACGCGATCCCCAGTCTTCGATTAAAGCAGCTAAGCGGGAGGGCGTGGTGTTCTGGAATACTTGATCGAGCGAATACTGGAGCTCTTGATCTAGCGGGGATCAGAGCAGTAATTATAAAGTGCGCTGATAGGAAATAGATTGTGCTCGGAAAAAGTGGCAAAATGAAAAGAATTTTCAGCTGTCAGATCTGCATATATCGACTTGTGTGAACCAATGACTTTGGTTTCAGGTTTTTTCTAAAACCTTATATTTTACCACATTGATACGACACTAGCGAAGATTAGACTGAATAATTGTTACAAGGGTGTATATGGGATTTAATTGAGAGCTGAGAATTGGTCAGAGCTTTAACTGTCAGCTGAGCGAATAAGCCAGAACTTTAATTGATAAATGGAAATCCAGCTCCCCTAACAAGACCCTCTGTTACTAAATAAAGCCGCGCGTTTTTCCTTTTTCAGATTAACCTGTATTTTAGTCTTTGAATCGTGGTTATAAGTATTTTTAGAAACTTGACGTTGTTTGAGTGTTGCAAGGTCTTGTTACCACGAATAGTACCTTTGAGATCTTTGAATATACCCTGCCTTTTAGTTCATAATCTCCTGTGCTAGGTCTTCCTAAACAAGCTTGCAATCTAGCCAACAATTTCAGTATCTTTGATGTTTTTTCGTTTTTCTGTTCCCCATCTAGATTTCAAGGAACACGTTAATAAGGCAACATGGAGGCAAAAGATATTATAAAATGGTCGATCCTCGGATTTTTCACCCTTTTTCTTCTTACTGGCCTCTCGTTGATTATTTTTGCAATCACAGTTCCCACACCCTTCGGAGACTATCTAACTATGAAGGGAGCCGCCTTCCCCGTCAACTACGGACTCAGAGTCGGTCTTTTGCTACTTCTTCTTTTCATAGCAGCGCTTAGCTTCTTTGCCATAGTGAAGGAAAACAACAGACTCTTAACTCTACTGGCGATTTTATTCATCATTTTATTTCTGGTCGAGTTTATTATGGGAATCGTGTATTTCACGATGAAAAGTGAAGTGAAGCTCTCTAAAAAGAAATTTAGCAATGGACAGCAAATGATGGCTGAGTATGGAGTGGACGAGAAAGTCACAAAGGCCATGGATCAAATTCAGCGGACATATGCCTGCTGTGGAATTGTAGACTATCGAGATTGGTTCACTTCAAAATGGGCGGCTAGTCAGGTTTGTGAAAAAATAGTTTTAAAAAATGCTGTAAAGGGCTTATAAGTCCTCCCTCACTTTTAATTATAACTTAAGCTTTGTGCAATTTACCCCTTCCACCCCAACGGTACCTCCTCTAAACTCCACCTTATCTGTCACCCTTTCTCTCTAACTTGAGATGCTTTGAAACGATATTCCTTCTCCTTCCGGGGAGGGGCATTTTGTTAACTGGTTGTTCTATTGTTTCCTCAGGGAAAAAATAACATGGTACCAACTTCTTGCTGTAAGTACCCGAACGAGAATTGTGGTAAAAACATGGACACAAAGAACCCCATGGACTTTATCAATATATTAGGCTGCACGGGTCTCAATTTCTCTTACGATGACAAAATGAAAGTGGTGGGAGGGGTGGGTCTTGCTCTTGGCTTCCTCAACCTGTTTGCTTTGTTGTATACAATTATATTCTGTTTCTGCTTCAACGCCGCGCGGGGACTGAGTTCAGTGGACGCTCTCAAGGGAGAGGAACCTAATGACGAGACGTCTTCGAGCTCACCGAATAAGGGCCGTCGACGCCCCTCTGCGCAAAGCACGCCAGGGTCCTCGCGGCGCCAGCGCTCGAAAAGGGCTCCACGAGCGTCAATGGAAAAACTTAACGCAGACGATGATGATAATGACGACCTACCTCCTAATGCTTATAAAGATTTACTTGATAAATCACAATCCCAGCGTGAATCCCAAAACTGAAAAAAAAAGTGTGGGAAACTGACGATTTCCTCAGCCCCCAGCCCGACTTCACACGTCCCAAATTCAAAATGGTGTACATGCCAAGATTTAGGGCGGGCCTACTACGATGGCGCATATTCCATGCCATCGACACTGGGTATGGGCGGAAAATCTCGATCAGTTTGTAAGACCTTTACGTCTATATCAAAGAGAAATGCTCATCATCAAAAGCAGGAGCTTAAGGGGCTTGTATTTACTGGCTTATACTACACTAAACCTATAAATAAGGCAGTTGTCATTATAGCAAAGGGCAATGACGTTATGGCCTCGAAGAAAAATGTAACAAATATCGTACGAGGATTGCATCAAGAAACGCTAGATCATCGTGTCTTGATTGCATCCAATTGAAAAAAACAAACATTGGACCAAGTTAGACAAGTTGAGAGTGACTTTTGGACGAGGTCCTGGATCCTGAGTGAAGTGACAAGGTGACTCTGTCCCCATTCTATTCCCCACTCACTCTTACCACCTCGCGATTTTAAGGTATATAATAAAACATTTAATTTCCAACGAGCAGTCATATTAAGATAACAAGTGCGTACCGTGGGATTAAAAAGACGAGAGAAAGCAATATTTATAACTAGCTGTATTTAGTAAAGGGTTGCCAGGAATACTGGCGGTGAAACAGGGATTGTCATCATGTTCGCCGCGAGGGCGTTTGAACACTGTACATGCACGAACGGCACGGTTGTTGCGTTAAAATTCGTGTCGTGTTACAGGTTAATGGATCGCTTCGATGTATATATAGCAATTAAAAACGGCATTTTATTCGTAAGCTGCGCCATGTAATGGCTAAAGACGAATTAAAAGCATAATAATTTTTTTTAATATAAAATCTCATTGTTTATGTATCGTCCCTTTCCCGCCCTCTGCAATGCCGAGCCGATTGGGCATTTTCCCTTATTTAGCAAATGCCATATGTTTAGGCGTGAAACTTGAAATGGCTGGGTTTTTTTCTCGTAAAACATGATCTGCGGGAAACGTGACTTTCCATAATTGTTATAACCTTAAACTAACAGCGAGCAGTAAAATTGAATTTCCTGCCATGTCTGCCGTTTTGCTGAGCAAAATGCGGTGAGTGGTACAATAAGTGCGAGAAAGAAGCAATATGGTAGCGATAATTTAGTGTAGAAGCCAAACAAAATGCCTTGAAAGAACATGAAAGAGAGTTTACATGAAGGTACATTATATTTTCTGCCTTAAGACCGAGTAATGCGAGTAACATTTTCCTATATCCTTCCAACATGTCGCCCAACAATGTGTCATTGCAGAAAGGGCATATCTTATTAAAGTTTTAGTAGCATGTTTAAAATTTGTACTTCGCGCAACATGTTGTTTTAATTTGGCTAAGGCCATGAGGTGGTAACAGTACGCGTTCAACATTGCGACAAGCAAGTTACAAGAAGAACTTGCAAGAAAAACGTTTTTCTTACAAAGGACTCTTTCTTGCAGCAGAGGAATCCATTCAAATTGTAACTGGTATACCTGTGCATCTTGAGCTTGAGTTAAATTTTGCAATTTGGACGAAAAATATATATTTCCAAATTTTTGAACTGATTTATAAAAAAGAGACAATTTGAAGAAAGAAAAATTGAGATACAATTGAAAAAAGAAAATCTTTGCCGAGACCCGGGATTATTCAGAACTCATGCGAGTTCTCCGGATTTGAACCAGGGACCTTCAGATCTTCAGTCTGACGCTCTCCCAACTGAGCTATCTCGGCTGTTGAAATTATAATGAAAATCTTTACAAATTTATACCGTACTAAAATAATTAGCATATATTGAGTTTGCGCAGAGTACTGCCTCTCTTTGGTGAAACGAACACAAAACAAAAATGGCGCTTCCGACATTACAACCGTACTGGTTGAAAAACTACAAAAACAGAAACGAAGGGCTTATGGTTCGTAGAACACAATATGAAGCGGAAAGAAGGGAAGCGTGGGACAAGAACGCAAGATATTTTGATAGATCTAATGTGGAAACTACGAAGCAAAGGGTTTGGGGATCAAGGGAGTCATACCAAGAGAGGTGAGCCGACAGCTACAAGGAATAAGCTACATAAGGTGTAATACTCATTGATCCTACTGTTATACGCAAGTTCGTATCTAAACATATTGTTTGTAAACCTTTTTCACGCCAACCTCTTATATTCCTTTTTACCAAGAGATCTGAAAGATGGCTTGTAAACTTTATAAACCAATCTCCTTGGTTACAACTTCATACCGTTACAAATTATTATTTCTTATTACAGGTAATTACGGAATTTCTTTTTGTAGCAAGAAGGATCTGCTTTTTTATATAGAAAATTTTATTGGCATTTGGAGTAGAGAAGTGATTTGAATTCTGATGCGTTACAGTTGATGTATAAACTAAACCATTTCCCTGCTTAATAGGGATCTGTAGTCTTGTCAAGATCTTTTAAGATTTCATCTTCATTGAACCTAGTAAATGACTTAGCTTACTACAAGTCTCCCTGTAGCTCAGTACTCAGTGAGGCCCTGTAGTTAGGGTCAGGGGCAGGATATTGATGCTTCAATATGACTTGTGCTGAAATTAAGATGGGGTTTGAAAATACATGTAAACAGGAGACAGAACATAGAACATCCTGCTAAGTGTGCAGAAGGGCATGAGTTAGATTCCTGTCAGGGACATCGATGTTTTCATTGTCAAATGCTCATGGCAACAGAATGTTTATCTTCCTCATAATTCTTGTTTGATCTTGGGACATCTTGCCGGAAGCTGATCTTGGTGTGATCATTATTTATCTCTACAATATAGGACACTTTTGAGACTACTGATCCCAGCAGTATGCTGGATGGTCACATGTGAATCACGTGCACGTGAATCACATGTAGTAAATGACTTGATGCTCATGATAAGTCTCTCTGTAATTTAATGAGAGAGCACCTAATTGGTATCTGGGAGGTCATGGGCTCCAGGTTACTTGACCCATGTGGGTCAGATAATTTACTTAACCTATAGTTGCTTTATCTATTTACGTGTGCTTTATCTACTTGTACTTCATTTCCACATCTCCTTTTACATTTCATTTTTCACATTTTTAATGAGGTCTTGACAAGATCTGTTATCATGAACAAGTTGATTTTTGCAAAATTTGGCCAAGATCTTGACAAATTCTGGACAAGATGATTACTGCTACCATAACTCTAATATTAGAGAGAATATATAGGAATGGATGAGCCCAAAATGGTTTTAATTTGTTCACGAACTAATAACAGTACATTGCCAACGACCCAAGAATAACATCATACTCCTCTCAAAACTTGCACTGTGTGCTTGACAAAACTTAGCAAAGCTGTTAATCAAAAGGTAAGTTCTGATTGGTTCTTGGGAGTAATGTTGTTTTACCAGTATGCAAGCTCTGGATGGTTTGTTCAAGGAAGACATGAAGCATGAGAAGCAAAAGAGATTAGAAGATAGGAAAAAGAGACTTTCTGAAATGTTGCTCAAGGAAACCAAGAAATTTGAGGTAACTTGAGTGAAGTAAATTACTATTAACCAAGGGATTATGAACTCAAGATTTCATGTCATAGAAATTTGAGAGGAAATAATCAATTAATAATCAATTATTGTTTCAAGTACCTGTACACTGTAGTAGAATTCTAGAATTGTTGAACTTCCTGAATTTTTCACAGGCAACCCACAAGTTATAAACAGACTCTGGAACCTACGTGTATATATGTAGAAACATTTGGAAATTTCCATGGATGGGATTGGTCAACACCAGGAACCACTGAACACTGATTGGTCGACTCTTGGAAATCTCAACAGAGAAGATTGCATGCCATCCAAGGAAATCAATATTTTAATGTTTTTCAAAAGTTGACCAATCAGCATCGAGCAGATCCCAATATTGACTTATCACATCCATGGAAGTCTACAATTTATTATTAAATAAGTTTAATTCTAACTAATAATAACTAATTACTAATAATATTATTTGGATCTCTATATTTGCAGTAAACATGTGTCATGCTTTAGCAAAATCTTTTTTATCTGAGTTGTCATTTAAACTGCTGGTAGTTCATGAATCAGGTCATATATTCAGTATTACTAACTCTGAAGTCGTAGAGTCCCATAACTGAGGAATGTCCAGAGTCTGAGGCAACTAAAAGTAGAGCGTTGGCTACCAGAATATCAATGCCTCTAACATTTTCTCCTTTGATTTGAACCTGCTCTCAAGGAATTAACTTCGTTTTAAATCAAAACATTTCACAAGTGGTTTTTAGCAAGTAACTCTTATCTTGTATTGTTGAAGTTTTTAACCTTCCCCCCCTCCCACCCACCCTTCCCCCACTCTCCCAGATGACAGCTCAGTTTTTGTCAATCTGACTAAAGTCAGGACAAGGTTTTTTTTTTTTTATCTAATCTGACCCAGTTCAATCCAGCTTTGTCAACATTCCTCAAAAAATTGTGGTGTAACAAATCAGCTTCGAATAGATTGCTGCAAATACTGCTTTCTCAAAATCTAGAGCAAGATTTTCTGTACCTTTCAGGAAGAGCTTAAAGCAAAAAGGCTTGGTGGAGCTGGTAGACTCCTACAAATGAAAGAGAGGTTTGTGAATGAAGTATACACTTTAATTATTGTGTACYGTTCTCCATGACTTTGTATTCAGTTATAGAAGTTTACACCGTCATGATCTGCTTTATGATTCTGGATAATGAAGTCAAGCCAGGTCACTCATTATACCTTACAGCTGTAGATCCAGAAGGCAGTGAAAAATCTGTTCTAAGATTATGTTATTTTAAGACAGTTCATCCTATTAAAGAAGATATGGAAAAATATTTTGAAAGAAAAATAAACGCTATAACAGCATAATCTTGTGGCCATTATCAAATACAAATTTAAGTGGTTCAGTTCGGATATTTACTAGCCTTGGTGTTAAGGAGTCACTTGAAAAAATGTGACGAAAAATGTCAGCTAATTAAGCACTTTTGTCCAAATAGAGTGCACTCTTGTGTTAAGTTTAGTCTTTTTTTTCTGATCAGCAGCATCTCATAAATCTAAAAAGTTTCACAAAGACTTCAGGGCCTGAGCAATCATACTTAGTCATTTTTAACTGAATTTATAAAATGTACTATGTTTTCCAGAGCTGATGAGCTTAAAGCTGACAAAGAGACCAGAAGGAAGGAGGTATAGTCTACTGATTCAACATCACAGCTATGTATTATGTTTGAGATATTAATAAAAGTAAATGTCTTAAGTTTATACCTTACATGTAATTTGCCACTTCACCCAGGTGCAAAAATGGGTACCAGCACATTTATGGCTGGGGGGGGTAACCCTGTTGTGGACTAGCATCCCATCCAGGGAGGAGTAGAAATACTCTTACTTTTACTTCATGCTACTGAAACTGATAATCAGCGCTGGCTTGATGGGCCACCTAGCTCATATACAGACTTTACCTTTACCTTAAGTAGGAAACAGTAAATGTAGGTGAGGGTATTGTAGAGTTAAAAGCGTTGCTGGGGCTGCCATTTTGAAGTAGACCAGCTTTATTGTTGAAGTGGATGGCTGATTTTGCCATCTTTTTAATCTAAAGAATCAGACAAAGCCAGCCACTTTTGACAACTTTAAAAACATTAACAAGTTTGCTATTTCCTGAAGTAATTTAAGGTTCAAGAAATTACAGGGCCACCTGTTATAACTCAATAATGATGTAAACCACATTTCTTTATTTAGTATTGATAATGAACTCAGTATAATCAATAAAAGTGCCATTTTTTGTCACTGACTTATATATTTAGCAAGATGTTTCGGCTAACTCTTAAGCCTTCATCAGTTGAAGGCTTAAGAGTTAGCCGAAACGTCTTGCTAAAATATGTAAGTCGGTGACAAAAAATGGCGCTTTCATCTATTATGTCATCTCCTGACTATATATACTCAATTTTTAAACACATGAACTCAATATACATGGAAATAACCTGATCAGAACTAAAATGCAATATTTGATTTGCACTTCAGACATGCTGTGTATGTGGGTGTGCAGTACATGGAATTCAGATTATATTGGCATTGCTACTGTAGTCAACTTTTATCTGCGCTCATACTATATAGATAATTGCCTGAATGCAGATGAAAACAGACATGGGTGTGCAGAGTCTTCATTTATGCTTTCAGCAGGATGGCAACTGGCTTTCACTGGCAGGCAAAATTATTTGAACTGAACTTCTGTAAAAGAAATACTTTTGGCTAGATGATCAAACCAGGCAGGCAAATTCTACCTAAAAACCGTTCAATTTGCCCGGTACCGGGCCCTTAATGAAAGCCCTGGGTATGGCAGTTTTATCTGAGCCGTGCCAAAATTCCTGCCTAGTTTAAATGGGCATTTAGCATTACATGATCACAAACTAAGCTTGGGAATTTGTACATTGCGCTTGCTCTACAGATTGCCGAACAAAAAATGTATGAACATTGGAAACAAAATGCTCCAGAACTTAGAGAGGTAAGAAAAGCATAAACAACAGAAAGTTGAACATTTACAGAAATATACAAGTCATTAGATAATAGTCCTGGTCCTGGTTTTTCAAACTGGATAAATCAGTAACCGGTGAATAGCATGGTTTGTTTTGTTATCACTTATCCACTGGATAGTGATTTATCCAGTGGATAGCGTTATCTGGTCTTCAAACAACTGGGGCCTGTTCTTCTGTTATCCATTTACCAAATGAATACTACTGTATCAGCACTTTCACATGACTTTCACTTTTGATTGATTGTAGAGTGAGACATAATATTTTTGTTGATAAATATTGCAAACTGTACGTGTATGTATTTAATAGACAGTCATGATGATTATATCCCATACCTTTACATGAAAAATCTGACTATTATAATTTTTTATTGTCAGTGAGATAATTATTAAAAAGTTATTTGTATGGAAGATATATAAACTAAATTTGTTGGTTGAGTTTTTAGTAAATTTAAATTTTACTCATGAATTAAAAGTTGATCAGTATTGTTCTACAGAAAGAGACAAAAACACAAAAAAGCTGCATCTTTGCTTGAAATTAACTTGTAGTCGCAATCCTTACATTGAAGATGTACATAACTTGAAAAACTGTTTTGTGTATTGTTTTCAATTCAACTGGAAAGCTAGCTAGCATGTTGTGGTTGAACATGGGAGTTGTTACATTTTACATGTTTCTTAACATGTTGCTTCTCTTTTGATCTTAACAACTGTAGATAGAAGCAGACCAGCTGAGGGAACATGTAGTGAACAGCTGGGCTGATCAGGTTTCTGACAGAGAAGAGGTAGACCCTGTGTGAAGTGATTATCATTAATTAAACTGTTGTTAAATTCATGGCTTGCACAGCCCTTGAAAAGTCCTTGAAAGGTTGCCACATCCTTGAAAATTCCTGAAAACGTTAGGTTTTCTCCTTGAAAAGCCCTTGAATTAATTTTATTACCAGCAGTCCTTGTCATACTTTAGACTAAAGGATAACAAAGTGATATTGATGACTCATATTGTTGATTGTTAATATTAACTACTTATGAACCTCAAGTGAGGTCTTTGTGGGAAGGTCTCAAACCGTGACCTTGCTCTATTGTGAGGTCAATATGGAAAAGTCGATGTTTGAGACCCAACGTTTGAGGTTAAGAAGTTGTTTATTACATGTATATGGCTTTTTTGCTTTGGTATTGAGACCCATACATGTAATTGGCCTGTGGTCATTATGGTAAAATAATTCCCTAGAATTAGCCAATCAGAGTATGCTTTATATCAGCCACTACACAAGCCATAGAATAAAAGATAGTAATCCTAAATTCAATGGGGCCTTTTAAGAGTGTTCTGTATTTTTTGGGTTCCTTAAGCAGATTTTATATTTGATTAGAACTGTGGGAATTGGTTGTTGCGTGGAAAAAAAGGAGTTGCTGTGAGGAATCATGGAATTACTTTGTTCCAGTTAGTGATTAGAAATGGTTCTTTTCTTTAATCTTAGAACCTGAAATCAGCACGACAAGAAGACAGAAGGTATGTTCTTAACAATAGGCCAGTTGGAATTATAATATATCATATTATAATTTGTTGTATCGATTGGTAATGACACAAATTTGGCTACCAATAAATCAATGACCTGTCTTGATTTTGTCTGTGTAGAACCTCAGCAAAATTGTTGGGTAAGTTGATGATAGTGAGTAACAGATTACTGTTAAAGGAGCTGAGCAGCCACGGTATTTTGGCCCTGTGTAAAATAATCTTTTAATTGAAGGAAATCTGAAAATAGTAGTCTACTAAGATAAAAAACCACCAAATGGATGGAAGATGGAGACGATTAACACAGATTACAACTGCAAACTTGAAAAGTTTAGGCTAAACTGTTCAAGATGCGCAAACCGTGGCATAGCTCCTTTAACCATGTTTGTTTTTCTTTTTAACAGATTGGATGCTGCCATGGAAAGAGAAAGACTGCAGGCACTTGAAAAAGAAAAAGCTAAAGAAGAAGCAAAGAAGAGGTATGCTTTTAGTATAATCCAATACCATTCTCTTTGTTTTCTGAAAAACAGTTTTGGGGGAAAATCGGTTTTTCAAACTTAAGGTCCAAAATAAAGCAATCTCATGCTTTTAACAAGTTATGAATTGTATAGCCACATAAATTTATACTGGTCAAAAATGTGAATTACTCTGACTAGAAATTGGACGACTGTTGTTCTTAGGCATCTGATGAAATGACTAAATTTCTTTTCAGTTTCTTTTGTGGCAATGGTTGCAGCAGATAAAAAAATGTGATTGATTATTTGGTGAATAAATTTTATTTAGTGATCATCTGATAGATGGAACCTTTTTTAAACCTAAAAAAACATTGTCATCATTTGATCTCTTTCTAATTTGTAATCTGCAACTGAAACCAAATGTGCATGATATCACATCAAATAAACGTACTTCAGGGGAATTCTAGGTTATTATTAACTGTAATTCTGTTTTACCAGGGAGCAAGAAAACCTTGCTGAGGATCTGAAACAACAAATGGAAGAACTGAAAATGAGAGAAGAAGAGGTATGGTGCATTTTCTTTACAAGGGTACAAAATGTTGGGCAGGTACATGTATTAATGTTGTGATACCACTCAGATACAGAACTCATTCTCGTTTTGCTCTAAAGGAGGTAAAGGAAATCCTAATGGGTAAATAAAATCTGTGCTACATACAGCGTGTCCATGTCTGACTGATTTCTTTTGTAACTTTTTTATTTTTCATCTTTTTTGCTTTACTTTTCTTGTCTTCTCTTTTTTTATGTTTACTAACCCATAGATTTATGTGAAGTTGTGAAGTAATTAGGTTAGCAAAAAATATATATATTGTTAAGTAAGTAGATATTTATTGCATGTTGTAAACTGTTTGTGAATTAAAATAGTAATAATGATAATAATAATGATAATGATAATGATAATAATAATAAATGTCTGCCTGTTTTGTAAGAAAATGACCTGATTAGATAGTTAACTAAAGGCACTTCAGTTTACTCTATATCATTGTATCAAACTGGTCTGACTGTCATGGTAGAAGTTTCACACGTCGTGGTGTATCTAATTCGTCTGATTCATCCCCAGTCTTTATAATCGGTCTTCCATGTATTTATATAATTTCTTACTACCTTAGAATTTTTTCCTTTACCCCAGTAACCTTCCATTTGTGGTGTCTCTCAATTTAAACTTCATGATAACTTTTTTTACCGTACCCAAATTTACAATTAGCCAATCAGAAACCATGTCTACTGTTCTGATATCCTGCGATATCAAGTCACTGACCTGATATGGCTTCAATATTATGGTCACTTGGCCAAATTTGGGTACGGTAAATACCTAATCATACCTTTACAGTATGCTTCAGTGGCATATGAGGCTCATTTGGTCTTACCATAGGTATTTTGGCTCAACTAAGTCATACCAAAATACGAATGATGGCTCGACCAAACTTGCCTAATATGCCACTTAAGCATGCCAAGAAGGTACAATTAGGTATAAATATCACACAAAACATAGCATATTCTACACTATGTAGGTGTGTGGTTAGCTGAGAGCAACTTGAAAAGTGGCAAGAGAACAATCAGGGAGGGGTGTGGTGCAAAAAAATTTCTCTTGCTCCCCAACTAGCCGAACACTTGAAACAGGCTACAAGAAATACTCAACAAATCAAGATACTGCAGCTCCTTCAACAAATGCCCAAGTAGCCGCAGTCAATCTAATCTCATGGAGGAATGCGGCCAGACCTGTGAAAGTTGCCAAGATCGGGCCTACAGTCAACCACATTGTTTTGCTAATGAAATCATGTTTTATTTATCTCGAGTGTTGTTATTGAATGATGTGTTTATTGGCAGGCTCTTATGTTGAAACAAGAACAAGAAGATTTGCTTAAAGAACAAAGGAAGCTTGAACAAGCAGTGAGTTTTTTATTGTAATTGTTTTCTGTCAGAGCACACTGTATTCACTTTGAAGTGACAGTGATATGGTACTGTTAACTTGCAGTCTACCTCGCTCTTGAAATGCTGTAATCCTGTTTTGGACAAACAAATGTTTTGGATTCATGAGACAGATCTCGCCCTAGTTTGTCCTTATACTTCTCAAATTCATCAAGTTTAAACAAAGAAAATCATGGCCTTGATGTTGTTTGGATATCTGATCTTAATTAGCATAGATTTTTACGATTTTATTTCTCAATTTTCTCCTTAGTTTTAGTTTCAATTGAGAAGAAACACTCAAGACAGTGTTTAACCACATAATTTTCCAAACACCTCAAAGTTTGTCAAAAGTATTCCACTCGCATCATATTTTCAACTCCCTTCACATTGTTTGGAAATGTCGTCAAACACAGTCTTTCGTGTTTGACATATTACAACCTTCATGCATGCTTTGATTTAGGGGGAGGACCGAAGACTGCTAGATGAAGCGAGGAGAAAACGGGAATTTGGGTAAGACAGTGCAAAAGGGATTATGTCATACAGTGTATACTTAAGTACTTATGATTCTCCAGACCCCTTCTCCATAAATCCTAGGTCTGCTGCAGTCTGTCTAGAGCTGTGTTAATGTTTTTATGACTTATTATCAAACTTCACTCAGCTGAATACAACTAACAAATAATTTACTCTGACTAAGACACTGTCCATCCCCAAGAAGAAAAATATTTGAGAATTACAACTCCTTCATCGGTTTTTGGGCTGGAATTTTAGGTGACTCCCTCATGGGGTTTTTCCCTTGGATTTGAGGGAAACTGCTTTCTTTAGGACTGAAAGTAAACCCAGGGTTGCTGCAGGTCAGGAAATGATCAGGAAAAAAATTTCTCAAGGTCGGGGAAAGGCCAGGGAACTTTATTTACAGTCAGGGAAAATTGATGTTTTGAAGAAAAGTCATGTAAAATTAAAATGATTTGATACGGCTGATTTAATACCATTGAAGGCAGGAAGAAACATTTGGGGTCACTGTGATCTCAATGATATTTTTCCTCAATGAAGAAGGAAAATGTGTTGAAAATTATCACTCCTAATGAACCATTGGAAGAAGAAGCCGCTACTAGACCTGACATTTTGCATTTCTTTGGTCGGAGAAATCTTATTTTTATCAGGGAAAAGTCAGGGAATTTTGAAAAGGATGTCTGTGGCAACCATGAAACATGTTAAACTTTGTAAAACAAAGTTGACTTTTCCCCAGCCTGTCCCTGATTTCTTTCTCGCTGTTTTTCGTGATGCTTGCAACTAAACAAACCAGGCCAAAACTCCAAAGGTGCACAATGACACATGCTCATGTAAACGTTTCAGGCGTGTCTTGATCCGTCAACACAAGGCTCAGATGAAAAGAAAGAGTAAAGAGATACAAGAGGCATTGGTAAGGAGTGACTGTAAAATGCCTGTGTTCAGAGGTCCGCAATGCGTGCATGATACTGGTCCTATAACTATACTATGATCTGTCCATAGGTTACACTAGGTCATACAATTTTATGCAATTTTTGCACTGACCAACTGGTCATTAGTACGATATGTAACATTCTGAGTTGTAAGAGAACTCAAAAGAAACACAGAAAAGCCAAAACATTTAGGAAAACTTGAAAACATCGGTCCGACATTTTTCAAGTTTATATCAATTTGTCTTTAAGTGTTATTTATGACGGTCGGAAATTATCGTGGCTCGTTTTTCATTTAGCCGCGAATTTGCGGAAAATAGAAGACTTATTCTGTCAATTTGAAGTTCGGAGCTCGTAATTACCAAAAATAAAGTTAAATTCTGGTAATGTAAAACAATTCAAACCAGCAAATCACGTCACTTATAGGCAAGGTACATGTAACATTGTTGCACACAGTCATAAATTTGTTTAACATCACAATGTAATAGTTTTTATTTCTTTCAATTAGGAACTTGATTTGAAGATTTTAGAAGCATTGGCTAAGAAGGTAATTCTGTTGTATGTCTATCAAGCGTTCATTTTGTACCTTACTGTCGTCTGATTTCTGAACTGAGCATTTACGCACATGCTTGTATTGCTAGGTTGCAAACACAGTAGTCAGTTTAGAGAAATTTTGAATGTTTATCTGAACCAGTGTTGCAAGGAATGGCTGTACTTTTTAGCTTCTCCTAAATGGACTGTTTTGAATCACAATCTGTAGCATTTTTTTCTTTTTAGACTATCCACTGGAAAGAGCTTTTACGTTCTAATTCACTACGTTCAAAAAACGAACGTAAATTATTTACCACTCAAATATCCGCAAAACAGGTACAACAAAGCATGGGTGGATCGCAATAAGCGTCCTCCGACACCTAACACAGAAAATCCAGTGAGGAATGTGACGCTAACACACCAGCGGAAAATGTATTATCTAATTACTTCTACCCCTTTAATATTATCAACAGAAAGATGAAGATAAAATACTTGAGACTTCAAGAAGAGAGAAAGCACGAGCTGATGCAGAGTACATGAGACAGGTGAAAATTTATTTTCAAAAATATGCACTACGTGTCTAAATGTTTTTCATCCTAGTGGATTAAAAGTTAAATGAAATTTTCCTATTTTTCAAAGGTGGTCGCTCAACAGCTTAAGTTAGAACAACAAAGGGAAGCAGAGTTGGACATGCTTTACAGGTAAAAGTTGTAAAACATTTGCTTCCTGCTTGGGACTGTCTTTTGGCTCGTCACCGATTTATCCTCTCTCAAAATAGAAATTTTCAAATTTCAGGGAATAATTCCTTTGTTCGAAGATAGACCTTGCTTTTGGAGAATAGTTATCGCATTTGTTGACGGCACTCGCTCACCAGCCTGAAGTTTTTAAATGTGTTGTTTAAACTTGTGATTTGCAGAGATGAAGCAGCTCGAATGTGGACGAAGAGAGAAGCAGAATGGGAACGAGAAAGATTGGCGAGAGAAAGGCTCATGGCTGAAGTAAGGAATGCATTTGCATACACCGTCACTGCTTTCACAGTCACTTTTACAATATTGGTATCATTAAATGTCCAGCCATTGGTGAGCCAATAATGGTAATCTTTGTGGCCTCACAGGTTACCATAGCAACAGTGCAACCTGTTAAAAACACTTTTAATTTTAGCTTAGCTGGATGATTGAGCAGTTTTTGATGCCATGATTGTAGCATCAACTGATAGAGTGGTTATAATGACCCATCAAAATCTAAGTCTTGGAAAGTGCTGGAAACTGTTGCCAACCACCTTAACAGGATTATTTTGGACTATAGAGCCTGACATTTTAGTTAACGTTGTCAGGTGCTGGATGTTCGCAAGAAGCAGCTGGATGATAAAATGGAGGAAAATAAACGCCGACAACAAGAATCAATCGAGAGTCGAGAGGAACTACTCAGAGAACTAGAGGAAGTTCAGCGGATGACGGCAAGAGAGAAAGTGGAGGAGGAGAGGCAACGGAGAGAAAGAGAAGAAGAGATTCAAGCACAGGTAAGAATGACTGTGACTGCCTTGCCCACTTGTCATTAACCTTTTCTTTGCCTATCTGACTGACTGACTGACTGATGAGTGACTGACTGACTGTCTGACTGACTGACTGACTGACTGAATAACTGATTAACTGATGACTGACTGACTGACTGACTGACTGACTGACTGACTGACTGACTGATGACAGACTGACTGACCGACTATCTGACTGACTGACTGACTCTCTGACTGACTGACTGACTGATGACTGACTGATTTTCTGACTGACTGATGACTGACTGACTGACTCTCTGACTGACTGACTGGGTGACAGACAGACTGACTGACTGTTAGACGGAAGGGCAGACAGATAGACAGAAAGACTTGAATGTAGAGTAAACGTCGCTGGTCTGTGTATAGGAGAACGACATAACGAAAAAGGGTTTCAGATAATATGAAAACTTGAGTTATTGGTTATTTGAATTTATACCTCATTCAACAGATAACTTCACGGAGAGAAAAGGCAAACGAAATGCGGCAAATTGAGAGAGAAGAGCTAGAACGGGAGAGGTAAGGCTGGTGTGCATCGAGGCGGAACTTCAAGTCACAACATAGCTGTGATTAAAATTTCTAGTCCAATGCTAGACTGCTGTCAGTCAGTTTTTCTCTCGAAATTCGGCAGGGGCAAGGAGGCCAGACGTTTTAGCCTAAAGGGGAATGGGACGAGACGTGGGCCCGCTCGCCCAAAATCCCTTTTCGTCCATACCGCCCTTATGCACTCGCGAACACTCGTCAGACCTGAAGAGAAAAGACCGGCTGTCATTGTTTTAAGTATAAATATGTAGAAGCTAACAATTTTTAAAACTGCCTTTGCTCTGTCGTTTCAGGCGAGAGAAAGAAGCGTATAATCAAATGCTAAGACACGAAGCAGATCACATGAGAGCAAGAGGAGCACATGCGAGGGTGGGTACACTATGCTGTTCTACTTTGACCAATCGTTATAGATGTTATGTATGAGTTATTGACCAAGCGTGCAGTCGAGGTGGCCTGATATTAGCCAAGTTTATTATTTATTTATTATTTTTGCGTCCTTGTGGATCGAGACGTCGAGGTCCGCAAACATGCAGAAAACACTCAGTGACGAGGCAAATATTCAGCCATCTTGACCGAGCAAACTTGGTTAATAATTACAAGATTTATTATATGGCATAAAGAACGCAACTTTCTTGCGGATTCGGGTAGCCAATCGCAGCTGCCAGTGTTGCTTAAAAGCTCAGTATTGTTAAAGCACTGCACCGGTATTGAAGTACGTACGATGTGATACGATTACGAACGATGTGGTACGACCATGATGCGACCACGTACGATGTGATACGATTACCAACGATGTGGTACGACTATGATGCGACCACGTACGATGTGATACGATTACCAACGATGTGGTACGACTATGATGCGACCACGTACGATGTGATACGATTACCAACGATGTGGTGTGACTAGATTTTAGTACGACTATGGAACGACTTTGGTACGTCTGACGTGACTGCGGAACGACGACAACGTAACTTGTCCTAATTTGAATGCAGGGATTGAAGAAAGATGGTGGAACGAGCGCGAGTATAACATACTAATTCCACGTTTTCCTACTTTCTTCCTAGTTTGTTCCGAGGAGGAGGACAGCCTTTGAATAGAATTATTTTCAATGGATTAAGCGGTAGAGAATTTTTAACTTCATCTTACTAGGGTGACTATGTAATGGCTACACGAACTCCAGGGAAACAACAGGCGGACAAACAGTGATGCCTTGTCACGCAACCGTTTTGCTCATCACGCAATCCACCGTGACGCAGTCGTCAAGCAAATAACGAGTGCAAAGCAAGATGTGCGAGGATTATTAATTGGAAAGGAACTTTTAAACTGAAACGCATTTTGTACGGTTCTCACTAGAGTTATCCAATATTTCTCAAGAAGGGATTAATTTATAAATTAAGCAGGACTCTAAACAAGACTGTAAATTTGCATCGGACTCGCTAAAACTATGCGAGTTTTCGTGGATTTAGTTATTATGTTTAAGTGTAAATATTCAATAAATAATTGAAAGTGACTTTTGTCGAGTTTTCTCATTCTCCAGTGCTCAAAAGTATTGCTTTCTCTGTTTACTTGTTTGTTGTGTGTTTGTTTGTTTGTTTGTTGGTTGGTTGGTTTGCTTTATTATTTGTTTGTCTGTTTTTCCCTTAAGAATACGTTTATAAAGCTGTCCTCTGTTTTAACACCTTTATTGAGTTTTTAGTCGTATCCGGTACAGATCCAAATTTTCACACTAGCTGACTGATTCCCAATGAACAAATCCCCTTTAAAAAATTCCCGATTCTGTTCAAACTCCCAAAAACTGAATTCCTAGATCCTTAAGTTCGCGTTTAAATCAAGTGGTTCTGTTTGCAAAACGCTTAAGACTGCCGCGTTTACAACAAAATTGCATTTAAACTATTACTAAACAAGTCATTGGCTCACTAAAACTTGAGAGGGCGAAAATTTCTTTGTAATTTTGCCAAGACCTCACTAGCCCCAATTCACTTTTTGGTATTGAAAATCCAATTTGGATCCTTGCCCTGGCTTGAGATCATCAATGCCAACTTGAGCTGACTGGCCATCAATGTAAATCAACCAGTAGAACATTTCGTTGGGTCTTTTATGAATATCGCAAATAGACTCGATCATACGGCCATAGGAGGTGTCCTTAGTGGTGAACTTGTAGCACGGATGTTGACTCGATGCCTCTACCAGGATGTCGTGGGCGTTTGTTCCCTTCACGACTATCACACACGCTTCAGGAGGGGGGCTTTCCCCATTGGAGTTGTAACTGACATTGAATTGCAGCTCAACGCAAACTTCTATCATCTGTAAAAGTAATGATAGAATAGTTTACAAGACCCAGTTTGCGCTGTTTTGAATTTCGTGTTATTGAAAAACTGGATCACTGAATAATGCAATTCAAGGGTTTTCATTGGCTTAGACATCATGGGTTATGAGCCATTATATCATGGCAGTCTTTCGATTGGTCGGGTCTTCTGCAATCTCATTCCCCGAGGAGCGTTCCTTTCGCCTAGCACGAAGAAGCAATGAACCAGCATTAGTCGCACTAGATAGTAACAGCGGTTAATCGTTTTTTCGCATGATCAGAAACCATTATTGAACTTGAACGCAGACGCATAATGAAACTGGGAACGATAATTTTCTGGCTGCGTCTTATCTTGTCGGAACAAAAGATGCAACAACTTAGTCACGCGACAAAAACCTTACGTGACTGTAGTCTATTAAGGTAGTCACGTAACGCTTCACCACTAATGGAGAGAAGACTGATAACGTGACTAATAACGGCTGAGAAGGAGACTAGGGTGACCGGAAACAAGGCTGGAGCGCGAAAAGAGAACAGTTCCATTAATCCTTCCATTACTCCGTTGTTTTTTTAAGGTCATGCCAAGTCGGTTGCAGGTTTTCTGCTTTACGCCAACTTCGAGTTGGACGGAATGACGTCCACATATACACGGTCTGGCTGCTAAGTACAGTCGAATTTTGAGCTTCTTTCGAGACGAATTTCTTCAGGATAGCAGGCACTTTGGAGGCTGAAACTTTGGTGAGTGGAAAAACTTAGGTGCAGATAACAAAAGTAAGCTTTTTGGAGTCACCTTTAAGTTTTGCATTGATTGTGGGATTCATATTATTAGCCATACTTTTTTTGCACTCCACTCAATTCACACCATATATGGATCTATTTACTGTTACTTGTAATTTAAGGTGAAAGTGAAAATAAAGATTAAATGTTAATCTTTGATGTGTAAGTATTAAATTGTTATGTTTAAGTCTTACCCCGTTTTCTTCGTCAACATCTGCAAAAAAATACGAGTAATAAGTGGTGGAAGCCATTTTAAATACAAAGCAAGCTTCAAAAAAGTAACAATTAATATTGACGGTGAAAGTTAGTGGGAAGATAATAAATCGTTTTGACGCCAATTTGACTTCAAATGATCAGGTCACGTGTCATATAACATGAATTAGTGAGGGTAGCTGGCGATGAAATGGATTGCAATACGCTCAAACCCAAACAGAAATAGAATCCTTGCGCTTTGAACTTTAATTTGACGATGATTAAGATTTCCTGAATTTGCCATAGACAGTTGAACAAAAATCCGATGACAGCAGTCCGCAGCCTTCCCTGTGAGGAAGCCATCCCTGTGGGTGTGGCTAGGGAGTGGTCAGCCGGTCTTTTCAGTAGGTCCGACACGACGGCGAGCGCAAACGCTGGACGGAGAGAAGGGAGATGGGACAGAGAGAGGTGTTGGGCGTGAGACGAGAAACACCCTTCTCTCGTCTCAATCTCTTCTAGTTTTCAAGGGAGAAACAGACCGCAAACAGTGTACATTGTGGTTTACTATACCTGTAGTATTCTTGGGGCAGCGTATATCTCGCAAGTCGTACGGAAGCGCTCCGATCAAGGCTGGCGTCACGTAGATCGTGCTCATCAGGTTAATGAATGATCCATCAGGATTTTGACGAGACTTGAGCCAGCGCATAGTCTGGGTACACTTGGTTTTCTTCACTCCGGCCGCTAAGAGAGCCTCGATATTAAGAAACAGAAAACAAATCTCAAACAAGCAATAAATTATTAAGGGTATATTTCAAAGCCTACAACCAAGGGGGAACAAAACAAAACATAAAACGCCCTTTAAAACACCGCCGCAAATTTCAAGGGAAAATCAGCCTTTATGCAAGGGTTGCAAATCAAAGCATGAAAATTAATTTCCGTATTATACTCCAACGTCCTCTAGCTTGTAATCCCACGGCTATCCTGGGAGTTCGCGGTTCGTCGACGCAAGCGAAAATTGACTGAGTGCCTAAAATAACAAGGTAAAAACAAGGTCCAGGATATTCTCTGGTGCGTCACGCAGGAGATAGATGGCGTGACGAGCCAAAATTATGAAGGCCCAGAAGGTGAGGGAAGGGAAGAGAGGGGAACGAAAGTGATCTTTTTTTCACCTGCGAAGCCAGAGCCGCAGTGACCTCGTTTTCTCCAAATGTACTGTCGTTCAACTGACGATTGACAAGCCCAGAACTCGTTATGTTAATGCCATCTTTAATCTTCTGCAGAATCGCCTCTGATCCTTTCCTTTTGATTGACTTCTTGATACAAGTCAGCGCCATAATTTGCAAAGCGAGCGTGTCTCCGCTGGCGATAACTGAAGGTAACTGCGCTGGTATACTGTGTAGGATTTTGTCCACGTAACCGAACTTTATCCTTCCGAGGTTATGCCTACTGCTACAGAGAGCCAGGACAGCCAAGCTGTACTGAAAGGGGTGATTAAAGCCCACTTCAGGATATTTGCTCAGTTTGGTCTTCAAACTGCTAACCAAATCGAAATCGTAGAAGTTTTTCGGGTCTTGACAAGAGGCCAAGGCGCCGAGAATATAGAGCGCGACCCTACCCCCGGACAGGGAACTGATGTTCGCGTTGATGATCTCAGCGTTGAGGTGCTCGGCTCCAGTCTCCACGGAGAGACCGATAAGCCTCAGGGAGTGGAATGCAAAAGCACTCACGTGCCCCTCCCCGTAAGTACCATTTTCATCTCGCTGGTTTTTTAGCCATTCTGCACCTCTGACAGCAGAACGTGTAAGGCTAGTCTGAAGACTTCTTGGACCTAAAAAAAATTCAAGTTTATGCAATGAGTTACACACACAGTACTTCACTTGCTATATAAGCTTGCAGCGACACGATACGATACGATACGATATTGTATTTAACGTGGAGTTACGCTTAGTTAATCCGCTATTTTACAGGTAATCCACGGCCCTAGCATATTCTAAAAATTAAAACTAAAAATGTACAATAATTGATCGTATAAAACAACGTTTACGATTTGACTTTTCGGGGTAACGATCAATTGGACTGTCACCCAACGCACGTTTTTTGTCACGCAACGATAGCTTTCGCGTGACAACCCAAGAGAGAAGTTGATTCCAAGGCAGATAACGGTTATAAACCGTTTTCTTTTGTTTTAATGATGGCCCTAGCCCAAGTGCAAGAGAGTTCAAAGGAGCGCAATCACACGGCTTATTCAGCATTTTTGGTTGAAACAGTGCTGAAATTATGATTGATAAGTACTAAACGCGCTCAAAAATACTTGTGGGAACAAGAATATTTATTTCGTTTTATGAAGGCATTTGTAATTGGTTAATAACGGTTGTTGTTGCTGGAACAGGGTATAAGTGAACTGTTAAAAGAAGAGCAACATGTAACTTAAGCAGAATTTGAAAAAGTCGGGCAGACTTTTTCAATTTGAGATCAAAATCTCCTACTCGTGTGATCCATTATAACACCCCTAATACCTTCAGTACCCTAGTAATGGTAATTTTTATCACAACTAGACCACGAAAAAGGTGTGAAAAGCTGTGAAAACCACGAAAAGCTGTGAAAACACCAGTCGCAGACGAGCATTTTATCATTTGTTTAAGTTCTCCAAAACTTCAAAATCGTCTAGTACTGTCTGGTTGGTGGAACACAGAAAGAAGTTTTCGGTTTCCTTTCTGATTAACGCTCGAAATAATACCCTTGTCTTCAGCAGTTATTGTAAATTGTTTTCTAAACAATTGCAGTGCATGATTTTAGTTTATAATTTCAAAGAAATACTTAACGGTTTTCTTGTTTCCAGGGAGCTACGAAAACACCGGTGGAACTCTGGGACGGGTTGTGTTTCTACAGCTTTTTGTGTTCTCCAAACTCTCCAAGAATGTTTCAACAAAGATATAAAGATTGCCATTTCGTCTATACAAGAAAACGTCAAAAATATTATTTTCGCAATTTCACGTAATTGCGATTATGCGTGTATAATCTTGTTTGTTCCAGCAATAAAAAAATGAAAATCGGATATTTCGTGTTTTCAGGCACTTATGTAAACACTAGTGGAACTTTTGAGATGACTAGCAAGTTCTGGAAAAACATGTTTCTACAGCTGTTGTCTCGAGTTTTCCTTGCCTTTCACGACTGTGTACAACTCCGTGAAATTTTTTTTTTTAATGAAATGAACGTCCGAAATATAATTTTTCGGTGTTTCTATAGAATGATGGTACATGCGGGTTTCAAGTAATCACTGTCAGCCTATTGTGTCGTTTATTTCGTAAATATATCTTAACATTTACGCATTGAACATAAAAAAGCCCAAAGAAAAAACAATTCGAGGCGAAATGCTACTGACTTTGTTTTGCGTCTTGAAGTTTCACATGCGCTTCCTTATTTGATATTATATAAGATGAAAACTACCATTTCAAGCATACCGAATTCGTCTCGACTAATATTTTCGTTTGGAATAAGAAATATAAAATAGACAGCGTTGAAAGGTGACCGTAAAAAAAAACAAACGATCTGAACATCTCTATTGTGAATCTGTGTTTTCTATTTGGACCACTCTGGGAGTAAATGAAAGGCAAATCACTCGTTTCTTTCGCTCGCATTTTTTTTCTAGAAAGTGGTTATCACTGGAAAAGCTAAATTCACTTGATATGAAAGTAATCTAATAGTAAATTTGCTTATTTGAAACTCGAGTAGTCCCGAAGGCCCGCGGGTGAAGATATGAACTGGAACAAATAGCGCACTTCCGGCCTTACAAATGTAAAGGAAAACCATCTTCAGGAAAATGAACACCACACACAGTGCACAAAGACACAAATGAAACAAAAAACTCTAAAACGTTTATATATAGTTATTGTTGTAGAAAATAATTTTGCTTTAAGCTATGTTGTTTAGATTTCGACTTTGTCGTCATACGTATGAACAATAAATGTTCCCTATATCATCTTTTTTCCGGGACGAGCGTGCTCAGATAAAATGAGTAAGGTGATGATAGAACCCAGCAAGAGCTCACGCAGAGTTGGAAAATAACTACTCCAGGACCTCCAGATATCCAGCTTATTAGGCAATCCAGAATTAAGGGCGAACTTGTAAACTAAATACATTCTTTCAATGACAAAATAGGTGAATGGAAAGTAAGTGTGGATTGCTCTCGAAATGAATGCTTTTCAGACAACACTTTTTCGCGTTGTGTATCGTCTACTGACTCTACTAGCTAAATCACACTAGCGCTATTATGTGAACTCATTAAATCGGTTGAGAAATCCCTTTCCTCACCGCAAAATCCTCTGGCTTGCGAAAACAGGGCGAGAATCACCAGAAACGTCAACAGATGAGAGTTCATGGCGATGTTTCGTCGTTGGAACTGGTGAAATAAAAGCTTTTTTTGCTGAGTCGAGTCCAAGTGACCTGAAGAATAGGAAATCACGTGAGCGAAAGAAAGGTCGAGGTTACAGGACATCACGCTATCGCGTTACTACTCAGTCCCAGTCTTTTCTAGTATTACGACCAGAACCTCAAACGAGGCAGAATTAAGGTAGAACTCTCACTTTTAAATCTGTCGTATAAGATTTTTTTTCCCACTAGTCCCGTAGGCTGTGCGGTCTTTCCGAGAGCACGCTTGCGCGCCCCCGAAGAGGAAAAGATTTTTACATTGGGTTTTGCGGCGGTCGACGCCCGAAAAATTCGACTTCTCTGAGCTGTGCTCAGCTTCAGAGAGGTGATATTCTAATCGGTGCGTGTCGCGGGTCCGAAAAATTTCCTTAACTCAGGTTATCACCGTAAAATAAGACTGACCGATACCACGAAATATCAGGACAACTGTATTCAGCTTAAAAAGACGAGGGAACAGAGTTCTAAAAATTAAACTCTTCGACACTGAAACGTATCAATGGAATCTGTGGCAGAGTAACANGGGGGGGGGGGGGGGGGGGGGGGCTTTTGCCCCCACTTTTCAAGAGATTCAAAATGAGATAATTGACGTTATAGCAAATTATGTCATTCGCGATTTAGTCTCAGATATTCGGGGTGGTTGCTTTTCTATCATCTGACGAATATATAGATATCAGAAACAAGGAGCGTGACAGACCGTTAGCAGCCCATGAAGATTTTTCGGATTTTACAACAAACCTGACATTGGTGCGGAGACAATTAAGTGTCAGCTGTTAAAATACTTATTACGTTTGATAATTCTTAGATTCATTTCCAGCCATTTCAGAGGACTTCAAATCAATTTTCGCATTCAAGCCCCCCACTCAAAAACCCACTGCGCGATGCCCGTAAGGTACCCTGCACAGGCAAGGAGAAAAGGAGACGCATAAACTAAAATTTATAATCCGCCTATTTCCAAGCTATTGAAAATAAGAAATATATTTTTTGAAATATTTTTATAGCTATTGTTATTGTAACTGTTGTTTCGGACCCGCGACAATTTACCCGCGACCCACGACAATTTACCCTCGACCCGCGACACGAGCCGATTAGAATATCTCCCCTTGAATACACTAAAAGGCACCAGGCTAATAAGGCCAATGAAAAAAACCATCGTGAGGAGCGTTCCCTCTCAGAAGTAAAGCGTGAGATCACTCACCTTGATGAATGTTAGCAAAAGTTACTGTTTCCTCGATAAATTACCAGGTACCTTTTGCTAGAAATTATACGGTATTAGGAGCATTTCACATATCTGGGTTATGAACACAGTGTTAAAGAACGTATCGCCCACTCAAGTGTGTGTTTTTTTTGTCCTCGCTGGAGAAAACAGATGATAAAAAGATTCAAAGGAATCTCATGTTTTCTTTTTTTTTCCACCGGCTGCACTCTCTTATCTTTGTTTAGCCCTTCTCTGTTCTTTTTTCTTCATCGTTTGGAGTGATTGTTGGGTCTTTACGAAACCGTGAAATCAGTTTTGGTCCTAGAATTTCCAAATTTTTCAGTTGAATGTTTTGCGAATTGTAGAAATTCAATTCTTGGAAATCCAAGAAACTATCCCACGAAATTAATTTTAGGTCCGGAATGGAAAGCGCCCTAACTTTCTCGTTCACACATCCACAGAACTTTGCGGATTTTTAAATGTTACTTAATGCTTCACTGAATGCTTCTTCTTTTATTCCGAATCATTAATTTTGCATCATATCTTGAATCTGCCGCAGAAAAAGTTGACTAGCCAGAAATAATATCCTTGAGCTGTTGAGGAATAGATTTGCATTGCAAATCAGTGTTTTTCATTCATTTAGCATTCACTCTGTAGTATCACCTTCCCACGAGGTAGTTGGAAGTTCGCTTCTGGTTGTTTCGTTCAAACTTTGCTGTAGAAATGCAGTTTAGATACGAATAATTGCTATTTAACATCTTCCAGACGAACGACTCTCGGCTTCTTCTTACGTATGGGACTCTGGAGGGAATTTCGCCTCACAAACTAAGTGGAACATTGGAACTAAGCTTGCAATGGGAAGAGAGTTAACACGAGAAGCGAAACACAGACTTCTTCATGCTCCGGTATGTTATCAAATGGTATTGTCTTCTCCTTAACTATAGTCTTTGAAAGCGAATGGTTGCATAATATCTGGTATCTGAAAGACCCTGAAACAGCGTTACGCTGAAATTAGTTCATGTTTTCGAGTGGCGTTCCAATCAACTTGAACATATTTTTTCAGATAATGCTCCCCTTTAACATTTAGCGTAAACCTGTGTGGATGCCGCCGGATCACTTTCTTTCAGTTATTAATTAAATCGTCTCTTAGCTATTTTTCTGATAGAACTCTTGATTCAGTTGTTGTGGTATAAAAAGTGAGAAACAATAGCGAGGATGAAAATCGAGAAGCCCTTCCTTGAGCGTCACGTTTCCTAGCGCGACGCAATTCTCGCGCGCGTTCGCGTTCGCGTACTTGTCCAGTCGACTGACCCTGAAAATTATGAGAGAATATTCACAGTGCATTGTACCAACCGATCTCATGGATACAAAAATGTCAGCTTCCATAAGCCTCTTAACAGTCACGCGATCGAACTACTGATGCTACCCACTGATGTCCATAAGTAGCGAGAATTTTGATACTTCTTTTCTACTTCAGTTTTATAACTTTTCGGTGGGGTTTTCTGTTTATATTGTTTGTCCTTCTGTTTAGAGTCTGGATAATCTCAAACCGGACCCAAAACATAATCAGTGAAATACATTTTTACACAAGAAAAATTAATTATTCGGTTAACTTTTAATCCTGGGTTAGTAGTGTTAGCGGCTTTCGAACAACCCGGCCCAGATTCCCAGGACGATGCCTAGCTTCTCTATTTGAAGCTTTGAATTCTATCGAAGTCCTCAGTTTACCATTAATATTGAGTATTGCAGTACGATTATGAAGGAGTTGTTCCTTATAATTGTTATCAAGAAATGGATATACATTTCCAAGAAGCACACGCTCGGAAATCCTCAGGTGGTCTTATCTAGAACAAAATGCGATTATTTAATACTATATTTTCACTATTATAACAAGGAAGCAAGGCTGATTGCTACGTAGAAAGCTTAACGGAGCAACGACATGGGATTTGAGTTTCATCTGAGGTCACTACCATGTGTATTTAGTACATAAACTGTCAGCCAGCCGATTGCTTTACTTCTTGCTGCTACACCGTGCTGACAAGACCCAATCAGAACGACACAGTTGTCCACGGTTGGAATTCTTGGCTTTCAGTTTGGATTCTATACTGTCGTTGTCCCGTTAAACTTTCTACGTAGTAATCAGCCTTGCTTCATTGTTATATTTCTATTTTTGGCTGATCAGATCTTTTACAGATCCTACGTACACTGGCAGCATTTTCGTTTGCGGTCTGTTGCATCATTGTATTTATTATTACTATTATTTCTTCTAGGTTTAGCTCAAAAAAACAGGAAAGGAACAAAATGGCAATTCCAAAGCACTGCATGGGAACTTGGACAACGAAGCAAAGTAAGATGAATTCCAATTTCTTACAACTTTTATTAATAGAAATGTATAGAAGTACGTTGGGAAAACTGATATTTTAAATCTGAGATTGAAAGGTTTAAGCGTACGGGTAAATTCACAAGGACAGACTTTTCTAATATTTTGGCCGAAATTCAGACGTTACAATGATTGCTCAGAACAAATAGTGCTTGTATTTTCGTGTTTACCATAAAGTTATTATTATCAGTTGCTACAACATTTTACAAATTATAGTAGCTTTTTCAAGAGAGAAACTTCCGAATCATGTGTGATTTAGTGAATAGCTTAACATCTCGATGCACAATGTTTACAAAGTTTAATGACAGTTTCCGCCGCGAAACTGTGACGGCACAAATTTATTACTCTTCTGAGCTGCCATTAATCTTAAGTAACTTAATCTTCTTTAATTTTCTTGCAGGTTAAGAGAGGAGCTCAGAGCTTTCAAGAGACTCACGTTGATTAAAATAAAATGCCTACCATGTATGTTGATGGTTAAGGCTTTCGTGATTAAGACCAAGTTTTCATGTCTTTTGGCGGTTAATGTTTGGTTAATGAAAACTGGAGCCCGGAAAAAAGTGTTGGCGGGAAGAAAATTCTGTGTTAAAACTTAGAGACCCGCTTGTTAACGTGACTGAATAAAAAGTTCGAAAAAAAGTCTTTTGGCGGGAAAAATTTTCTGCGGTAAAAAGGATCGATGCGCTTTTAGAAGGAGTTGTCAAAAATTTCGGGAAAAAAAAACTAAGTCTTTTGGCGGGAAAATTGTCCTTAGAAAAAAAGTCTGCACTTTTGGATAGTGTCTGGTTTTGAGTCAAAAATATACTAAGTCTTTTGGCGGGAAAAAATCGTACAGTTTTGCAAACGGTTTTTGCCCATCAAAAGTCAGAGTTTATGTTTGATTTCTAACTAGACCCTGTTCAAAAGTGCAGAATTTTTTTTGTTCGCGGCAACCCTACATAGTCAAAAAATAGTAAAAGAGATAGCCTACATTCCGACTAGTTTCCAGGCCCNTAACTAGACCCTGTTCAAAAGTGCAGAATTTTTTTTGTTCGCGGCAACCCTACATAGTCAAAAAATAGTAAAAGAGATAGCCTACATTCCGACTAGTTTCCAGGCCCTTTTAAAAGCGCATTTTTTTGTTTATTCATACGCTCAAAACAAGACAATAAAGGAAAGAAACAATACTACTTGTAAATGTTTTTATTTGATTTTTAATACAATTAACTAATTACAATCCTTTTAACATTAAACAAAGTTATTTACAACACTCATTCGTGAGACAATAAGACTGCCCTATTAAAAATCAATAGCAAATATCCGAAGACAAAGACTATACAAGGATGAAATTCCAAGTCAAAGAAAATTTACAACGATTGTTTTGAAAACTGAACTTGGAACAGAAAAATTCAGTTCGCCTTGTTGTAGAAGCAAAGACTAACGATTTAGCTAACTTACAAGAACACTTTTCCAACAACTATCATGAAACTAAAACGAAGTATTCGTAGAGCGAATGTCGTCCAAAACATCCTATAGATCATACAACTAATAAGTGTTTACAAGTCTTGATCGCATATTCTATTACGCTATTTTGTAGCAGCAGTAATTCGCTCTGTTATTAAATTGAAAATTTTCCGTAAGATGTCCCAGTTGTCAATCAATTTTAGTCTAATTTTACCGAAAAATATTTATAAATTTATTTTTACAGTCGTTGGAAAAGTGCGCGTAAAACGCCTGATCAGAATGTTGTATTAGAATCTTAATGTTGTTGATGTTAACTTAAGTTACGAGACTTTTTGAGACAAGATATATCTACGAATTATGAAATTATTTTGTAAAGGTTTTTCTTCAGTTGAAATGACATAATTGCGGTCTCTTCTCTTCGAAGGCAAAAAATTCTGGATATGTGTAATAGAGATTTTCTCAAAACCAGACAATTCCACTGAATCTTAATTATTGCTTTCTTCTGTTTACATTTGGCAACAAACTTGAGACTATTTGAATTTGTTTGAGTTCTTTAGTAGCGATGTCCTCTGGTTGTCAAATTTCTTTCACATTTTATAATCACTTAAACTGCTTTTTCTTGTCTACGAAGAGCAAATTAAAGCCTTATGAAAATACAGAAAAAGGACGTTGTCGACGGCTAAACTACATGTAATAAATCTTACACTCTATCTCCGTGTTGCCCGCATGCTAACGGGGCACGCTGACACTTCTTGCCTTCAGTCTTCCTTCTTCATTGTCATCCCCACCAAATGCACAAGCAATGAAGGCACTGAAAAAAAGACACAAATAAACACCTTAAAATAATGACGAGATTCCATCGGATTACAAGCAGAGACATAAACACAAGACATTTCAATTTGGGTTTTTGTTTCGTCTTTCTGAATCAGGTGTGGGAAATCAGCGCGATAAATGTACATTAACAAGGAGGAAGAAACGGGTTTTTTTGCGCATTCAGGGCCAAGATTAAAATGTGCATTCTCCTTATCAATTGCCATACATTACGTTTAATGCTAGCTCTGAGAATTTAGTAGTACATCAGCACAACATGCTCCGATGATTTTCCTGCATGCTCTCTTCATCTTCTCATCACAATGTATTGATAATTGATGTTGATCTCATTAACAAACAGCCAAACAAAGAAGGGCGAAAACTTCTGTGCATATCTTAAAATGTCTCATAATGATTTTGTCACAGCGAAATCAAGACAATTTTCCATCGATTGGGGGTTTCAAGAGATGTAAAACATTATGAGTTCTAGTCAGTTCTCGACGATGTTATTCACGAAAAGGCACGAGAATTTCAGAGAAAAATATCTGTAGAAGCAACCATTGGGTTATCAACCGAGAGTTTCATGAGCTTGTGGCAAGCTTAAGAGCAAAACATAATCCTCATTGTTCGCGCTAACAAATAAAAATACGCAACTTCATTGCATTACTGGCCCAAGAGAACGAAAAAGGTGTTAGAAATCAAAGTGAGTTTCAGTTTGTTGACCATGAAAACTCGGAGTAAAATCTCAGGTAAATTCTGATTTATGTCTTGTTGGATTTTAACCTCGGAAGTTAATTGTATAATCTACGAACACAACTCCACAAGTAGATGTTGTTTTGTAACATGCGCCCCTTCGAATCGATCTCACACTCCGCTTCTATTAAAAAAAGATGAGGATGGAAACTTGTGGAGAGTTTATCAAATTTCTACTAAAAACTTTCATCAGCCTAAACCAGGAGAAGAAAAGGAATCCTTTTGTAAACCTTTATGATCAAACTTTTTTCAGAACTCCAAAATTTATTGCTTACATTCCGATCATATTTGTGATGGAGACACACAGCGCTAGCTAAAATGTCATGATTGATTCAACTCGCACAAGTCACAAAATCTGCGAGACGCGGTTTTGTGCCGACTAACAAAAAAAAAAGGAAAAAAAATAGAACTACAACAAAATCTCTTCTCCAGGTTGCTTAATTTACACTTGCCGCACGTAGCAAATCTCTTTGGAGGTCAGCATATAATTATTTTCAATTTTACAGATTTATTTACAAATTTATCTCGGCATGCTATCAATAGCTGTCATAAAGAACAGTCACTCTGATAATTTGTAGCTCCTTTATAAACCAGCTTTTAAGCTGGAAGGAAACAAAGAACCGAAGAAACTAAATGCTCTCGAGGACCATCAATTGTGAGATGTTGTCCTAATATGTCATTAAATTCTCGCCACATGTACAATGCCCATGAATTCAAAATGTTTTGAGAAAAAGTCAACAATCCGCAACATGAAAACTTATCTTTGATACCCAAATTAGCCAAAATGAGATTTTTAGCTAGATGTCAATACATTGGTACAGTAGCCACACATTCAAGAATGTAATTAAGTGAACTTTCTATAGCTTACCTTTACGTAATTCTCTTCAGTTTCCATGGTTCTGCCATTCCTACAATCCACCAAGACATGTCCCACACGGTTCTTCATCTGAAAACGAGAAAAACATGAGCGAAATAAGCAAACGTCATCCAGTGAATAACAAGTCCAGTCCTGAATCTCTGCGAGTCAACAGGTACGGTAAAGTTGAACGGTTAACTCGAGCAGCCATGATAAAGGCTCCGAGGACAACTGTAACGTACACTAGATAACTCTTGGCCTTCACTAACAAGTCAACAAGACTTTTGTCTTTATTTTTTTTCTACTATAGTCTAGATCAACTTGACTTACTGCGAACGGTTTTAGAGCCAGTCAGTTCTTAAACTAGTTCTACGAGAGTTGGCAATGGTTTCTTGATGAAACCAATTCGTCTCGCCTGCAATCCATAATTTTCCGTCAGGCTCACAATTTCTTACCTTGTTTTGATTAAGTCGCTGTTTATATGTTGGTTCCGATAACCGATCTTCAAACTCGTCTCTATGTCGAATTTGCGGGCTCTATGAACTATTAACCTTGATTTGTCCGCAAGTTTTCTGGTTCTTTAGCCCAAAAAGTCAAACATCTCCGACCACGAGGAACTGATGAATAAAATGCAAATGAGAATCGACAAAAAAAAATCGCGACGCATTAACATTTGCACGTGCAAATTACATAGCAAGGCTGCTCCGTTTATTGTTGGGCTGAATTTATTAAATTTTCCCGCTTTTTGTTTCTTTTTTTTAATTTCGTTTCTCGCCCGTTTATTTTCGGACAATCACCGCAAATTAGATCTGCATTTATCGCGCGATCTGTTTTCGAATCGAATCAGAGGGAAGACTGGGAACGACCTGGCGGTTCCAGGGAAAAAGCGGGCAGATGGCATAGAAACATTGTGACGGTGAAACTATTGGTAGCGCGCAGTTTTCCCCCATTCTGGAACGCTTCAAAGAGCGAGCCTCGGGTTGGGACCGGATTTGAAGTTCTCAGAAAGTCACACAAGTGCTTTCATCAAACCACATAAACGTAAATATCAGTTTGTTTCTTTTAAAAAACTGAAACGAGAAAAGAAAATTACCTTACTGAATAAGTTATAATGTAATCATGGCTGGTTACAGCACTCCACCCTACATAATATATATTGGTGAATTAACTTTTTTGTCAAAGGAAATTAATCTATTTCGGTAAAAGGAATCTACGAAACATTAAGTTGGAATTGCTATAATAATTTTAATTTTCATGTCTTAAAATATTTCTATTTTACATTGACATTCATACATTTTGCATTCATAACAAGCAAAGCTCATCAAAAGAGCTGATACAGAAATACAAATTCCTATTTTCATGACTGAAAGTTTGCCAATTCACAAACATATTGAATGTTTTAACTGACCTTTCGACCTGTTAGACAATAAACGACGGTTTCTAATCCTTCAGGGGCACCCAACGACCGTTTTCTCTCAAATGCTTTTAAACGCTGTTTTAGGCTATCTGGGGTACTTTTAAAGCTCTGTGTGTTAATTTTAGGTTGCGCTAAAAAAATTTTATCTTTTCGGTTATTCTAGGGGAACTTGAGTATTCTCGAATTTATTAGGGCTTTTTTGTCCATTCCCCGAAAACCTTAGGTCTTATCGCCTTTCCGAAAATGATAGCTGACCTTTTTTCGGTACCCAAAACGACATTTTTTATAATTCGAAAACAACAGACATTAAATTTCTCATATCACGAAAGTTCGAGGTGACAATTCTCTTCAGAAAATCAGAGGAGATTAGAGGCCTTCCGAACAGATAATTTACCGAAACGATCCGTTGGGTGCCCCTGATCCTTACTAACGAAAAGGTCATTTCTGAATTGCCTTGGGCCTCTGTTTCAATACGAGTCCTCATGCAAGACCCTTCATATGAAGGCGGAACACATTTTCATATGAATGCTTTCGCACGAAGACTCGTTTTGAAACAGAGGCAAAAGACAACTCGGAAATGGGCTGTTACTTCAAAGCCGTAAAAAAGTCCTGAGCCTGCGTTTCATTAGATCAGCACCACTGACCAAAAACACATGGGCTCTGGGAATGAGTGCATTCGCGGATTCAGGAACAATCTCGTATGAAGACCATGAAGAGACCAATAGTCCTGAAGATTTCAATTGAAGCAGCGATGAGCTGTGTTACGTAAAAGGGTTGGCCTCGTCTGTCACGCCTTCCTCCATAATAGACTCAATTAGAGTCTTGCCATTGATTATCTTGGTTGTGGCCACTAGATAGTCTGTGGGGCCTGGGACAGAACAAAACAAAGAATTTTGCCGCTGTCTTTTTTAGAAGTAAACATAGGTCAATAGAACCTCTTCCACTAGCACTTTTAAGCATCAAGAAATAATTGCTCGCTGTTAATTTAAACAACTGTCTATTAAACAAGATCCCTGTAACTTGATTAATAACATTCGTTCCCTTTGAGCCTCGTCCACACCACGCCGAAGGAATTTGAAAACGGAGGATTCACTCTGAAAACGTATCAAATGTTTTCGGACCACACAACGCCGAGGAATTTAAAAACGCAACAATCACCGGTCATTTTGGATTTTCGTTTAAGGAAAGCTCCGTCAGGGAAATCGAGTGACTATCGTGACTGCATCGTTTTCGAAAAGCTTCGTTTTTAAATTGTTGTCCGTCCATGAGAAAACGTAACGCCGGCGTTTCCAAATTCCTCCGGTTTGAAGAGCGTTTTCAAAAAGCTCCGTTTTAGGGACGGATTAGTGTGGACGGTAGGCCAAGCCGTAGAAATAAAGCTGCGTTTGCTAATTCCTTCTGCGTAGTGTGGACAGGGCCTTGGAAAGAAAACACAGTGAACAAAGGTTGCAGTTAACAGTTACTGAGTAGGTACTACTGAAAGTAGAAGGAAAACAATTTTCCGCTAATGAAAAATCAGATAACGGCAACGCTTTTGGGAGCAGTGATTTCCTTTTGAAAACCACTAAACATTTAGACACAAAGAAACCATGACCAAACACTGAAGCTGTCGATCGAATTAGTTCTCATCAAAACAATCAATCAATAACCTAAAAGAGTAAAACCCGCGTGTAAGAACCTACTTTTTTGAAGTCTGGCAAAATAGGTTGTATTTTGGGGAAGTTATTGGCAATTTAGGCTAAGTAGGTTCTTTCAAATTAGGTTCATAATCTCTATGAGGAAGATATAGTCGTTGATTAACAGAAAAATAAATAAACTTGGGTTTGGCCCTTGAATATACAGCATATATTCACAGCTGTATTGTGCATTTTCCTGTACTAATGTAATCTCAAAGTCACACTCCTTGGTTGAAATGTTTATCATAATTTAGCTGTAAACCACATATATAACATGCGGGTTTTTACTGTAATGAAATAAATTTAGAAACAGAAACATGATTACTCACTATTTTCCTGTTGTGCTAAAAACCTCAGAGCAGATATTTCAGCGTGTGTACAGCCACCAATGAAATAAACTAAAGTTACTTTAGGTGGACCATCAACAGAACTCTCTCCACTGGTGGACGGCCCTAAAAAGATTGTTAACAGAACTCTTGAGTTATTTTGGCCACGTGCAAAACTACCTTAAATTGAAGGAAACCTAAAACTAATAGTTTACAAAGATAGGAAAACACCAAAGGGATAATAATAAACTATAAAGGAGCAAGGATGGTTAAAGATGGGGAAGATTAACACGGATTACAAACCACGAACTTGACAAATTTAGGCTAAACGTTTCAAGATGCGCAATCCGTGACGAAGAAATTGTGTCCCGCGTTTATATAAGCACAACACTAAAATTGCTCTGAACGTTAGAGAGCTGGTGAAGAACCATCGTCCACTGACACGTCACAGCGACAAAATCATGTTAACGCTGTTAACAGAAGTTCCTTCCCCTAACCCCCCCCCCCCGCCCCCTTCCTAGAGTAAATTATAAGACCTTACCGTACCCCAATTCGCAATAAGCCAATCAGAAACCGTGTCTACTGTCTTGATATCCTGCGATATCAACTCAATGGTCTGATATGGTTAGGATATCATGGTCACTTGGCCAAATTTGGGTCTGGTAAATACCTAATCGTGCCTTTATTTGCACGCTTCGGCTGCATATCACGCTCGTTCGGTCTCTCCATGGGTATTTTGGCTCGACTACGTCTCACAAAGTACGAACCTTGGCTCGACCAAACTCGCCTGATATACCGCCGAAGCGTGCCAAAAAAGGCACGATTAGGTATATACCGTACCTAAGTTCAAGACAACAGGCACTTTTGATTAGCTACTCGCAAATTACGGCAAAAGAAAAACAAAAAGGTTGTTGGAGCAAGCTCCTTCTCACTTTTCTGAAGTCCAGGAGGTAGTCGCTGGATTTCTTCAACTACAGGCCCCGGCAGTAACCGAAGAACCTGAAGAAAATTAACAAAATAAAGAATATCACATTTTGGCGAGACATTTGTTAACCGTTACACCAGTTAAATGTTTTCCTGCGCTTTCCACATTTTACATTTTTTCCCGCACTTTCCAAATATTACCTGTTTTCCCGCCCTTTCCACCTCTTACACGTTTTCTGTCGCTTTCTCCTGGTTACAAGTTTTCCCGCAGCTTTCAAATATTTACCCGCGTCCACTACCAGTTGAATGTTTTCACTAATTAATTGGGTTCTTGTTTTGAGTTGATATTGACTGGCGCTCTATGACGACTTCTTGTTTGTTCGTTGGTGGATTTTTACCTCTTCCAGTCCTCGCCAGCCCTGAGGCCGAGCCAAAAACTGAGCCAGTCGTACTGTCAGCGGCGCGTATCCTGAAAACACGTAGGCGATGTCGTTTGGATTCTGCAAAGTGAGAGCACAAATTACGAACAGAAAACACGTGATCCTACTAATATAAAAATCCCACGCTAACTTTTGGAATAGAACGTTTCGTAATTGCCACACCCTGTGCAAAAATTGGTTTTCACTGACGCATGAGCGTAAGAGTAGAGTAATAAGCGCCTTCCGTAGCCTTAAACACCTAGGCGAATTTGTCACAATAAATGTGTTTTTTTTGAGACCTCAGATGTAACTGAAACCAGCAGATGATTGTTCAAAACACGGGCCACAAACCTTTGCGTACCGCAGGAAAATCTTTTACAAACGAAGAGGGGATATACTTTACAAGGATCATTATTGTCGAGATTTCCAAACCTGCCCGGAACAAACTCAACATTAGCGAGTCCCTCTGTTTTCCGAACGGGGGAGGGGGGGGGNGGAGGAGGGCGGGGCGAGTGCATATAATAACAAAAACAACGACTGTTCTAACTTTCGGATGATCACTACAATCTGAACAACATAAAACTATAGATTCACAAAAAGGTTTTCGCCCTATCCTTCTTCACCCAATCCCGCCTTTTAAAATCATCTCAGTAGGCTAGCATGTACAACAAATCACTGTTTACCTGTTCCTGTACGTCTTCAACGACAAGCTTTAATGACTTGCGCAGTACATTGTAAGATCGAGACGTCTGCAATCTAAGCAGGCCAGCTGACTCCAGCGGAGAAAGCGTCCTGTACGCATGCTCAAAACCATATGTCTAGAAGAACATGAAAAAGTAGTCACAGTGGATCCTCCAGTTACAGTATTTCTCACATTACAGCATGGATTTTCAATCCCAACCACAGAGCCTTCCATACGCTTTACAGTAGTGTGGCCCTCAGAAATTCAACTAATCTGTAAAGAATATGAACTATTTAGCGTAATGTGTTTAAGTTCTTTTTTCTTTTTTAACTCGTGATTGCGTTAGCAAGTTGTGTGTTGTAGTGGGTGATCAGATTATTCAAATGATATGCAAATGAGGGGCCGGTCACCACCCTTAAGTTGGTGTTGTTTTATTCTGTCAGCGAGAAATGAACGAGTGATAGCGTAGCTAGGACATCGGAACTCATGCACAGTGAAACCGAAATTTTCTAGTTTTTCTCTTTTTATTATGCTTTCAAGCTTTTTTTCTTCTAACTTAGCACTATGCAGACACACTGCCACCGTCGGCAGTTTCTCGTGGGGTCAAACGAAGAGTATCCGATTCTTTAATAATGACCATATCAGGAAGAACTCGAACGGAACAATTCAAATCTTGCCACGTCAGCTTGTCGTCTTCGGAATACACCGTGACATTTAATAACACAACTCACGAAAGTCACGCGCTCAGGCAAGTCACGGAAACAGGATTTTCATCGGAAAAAGATAGGTGTTTCACAGGCTGAAAGGCAACAGAGACGGCACTAGTTATCCTGTGTTTACAGCCGCCCTCCTCGAAAGAAAAAAAGTCATCTCTCCGAGTTTTTCTTTTCGGGGATGGTGGCTGTGACACAGGCCAGGCACTAACCTGTAATATTTCACGACAATAGAACTCCAGCATCTTGGGTTTGAAGCCATTATTTGTCAAACACTGAGCACACAACAAACGAAGGACCTTGTCAAAAGTACAAGAAAACAAAAAAAGAAAATTAGCGGGCGATTGGTAGAGCACGTGTGAGGTGCGGGAGGGAGGGGATGGTGGGGTAAACAAGCGCTACTTTATTTTGCAACCAAATGCTACTTTATTCTGTCCAAGAGCGGGCAAAATAAACCAAATCCTGAACCATGATACCCGGACTATTCTAGCTCTTCGAGAGGGCAAGACTGCGTTATCATCCCTTCTCTGAATTACCCGTTGTTTTCCGCAAGAAATGTTTTTTATGCCATAGGGACCATTCATTTTTTATGAGGGAGGGGGGGCTGGTGGGATTTGGGAAGCACCATTTAAAAATCGCATGACCCCCCCTCAGCTTGCCAATTTTTTC